CTATTAATATATAAATTTGTTTTCTTTTTTATATAGAGCGATAGTGTAATTTAAGTTTGATTTATGAAAGACATTGCTATTATTTTTGGCACTTTAATAGTGACAGGTATTGTCATAACTTTTGTTTATTATGAGTTGTCTCATGCTCTTTTGACATTAAGACTAACTATAAATCAAGTGAACACTCTTATTGCAAAGCAATGGTTTAACTTTTTTAGAGTTATGACTAATGCAAAAATTGTAACAAAAACAGAGCAAAGTTCTTAACTGAATGCTACTTTAGATTTATAAAAACCCTCTTATTGTTTTACTTCGTTTCTTTCAAGCAAACAAACTTAAATATTTTAAAAAATCCGATAACAATATTTTGTTTTAATCTACATTAAATAAATAACTTTTTTTGGTAATTCTTACTTTTACGACACCCTGTATTTTTTAAAAATTTACTTAAATATAATTATTTCAAAATGTTTCTACATTTTGTGTAGTGTTATTAAAAAGGTTCATGATTTAATTAAAAACTGTTTGTAAATATGTTTTTTTTGTGAGCACTCTGTATAATAATTATATTGTATAAAAGTTTGATGTTCGTAATAATTTCTTTCTTTTTATCGATGTGTTTTTATTAATATTAAGTAAAATTTATTGGAATTACAAAAAAATCGAATTAGTAAAACACTTAGGATTTCCCTGGCCTACTCTGCGTCCCTCCCCCTCCTGTCACTAATCAAAAATATCCTACCTCGTTCAAGGTCACCTAAAACCCACCACGCCTTCATACAGGAAAAGGCATTGCTAATCGAAGTATTGAATAGTAATGAAGTTCAAAGGTAATAAAAGTGGATAGTTCTAAGCAAGTCTGAAAATAAATAATAATGAAATCTGCTTACTTTTCTGTAAAACTAAACAAACACAAGTTATGTTTAAACAGACTTTATGCAGGCAATCATTATAAATGCTTGTAAATAAAATTTGTGGACTGTTTTGAAAACTACATAACGTAAAGGACATATTTATTTATTTGGAAAAGGAAATTAGATTTTATATTGTTCCCTCACACAATTTTCTACAAATTTCAACCAGGAGATATTTCTTTTCTTTTCGTAGTTTTATTCAATTTAAAAACATTGACATGACACAAGCAAATCAGATAAACTCGGAATAAAATCAGTCTTCTTATACAGAAATCCCCTTCTTTCAATTTTTCCTTAAAATATCTTTGGTATGTTTCAAGGCCCGTTAGGCATGACCATGACAAAAGTGAGGAATCTAATTGGAATGTCTAGCGGAGACTGCAACTTTAGGTGCTGACATACTGGAGCTTTAAAACCTAATGGAAATAAGGAAACAGCGGTGGGGAAAAATCAGAATCAGATACTGAAAACTAGATGCTGATACTATTTACGAAACTTCTGGATTCCTCCTGCGTCAGTTGTTGTTGAGTCGAACTTGCTAACCTTTCGCCAATCATCCTTTTGGCTTCTTCAGAGCTTAACTGAAACTGTTTCAGTTAAGTTTCGTAAATATTATTACAGTAGCCTGTGGAAATTTCTTTGAAAAAAAATAGGTGCTGATATTCTGGAATTTGAAAATCTAATAACACAACATAACATAACTAACTTCACACCTAAATCTACTTAAAAGTCGAAAGATGATTTTTGTATAAGGAATGTTTGGATTTACTGTTTATTTGTATTTTTGGTTGTACCCGTATTATCTCCCTACACATCAACTATAGACGAGTATTCGAAATGAAAATAACTCGTCATTTGTCATACGCGTGTTGTGGTGCAAACAAAGAAATATTAACCTCATTATTCCGGCAATTAAAACGTCTAAATATTAGAGCCGGAACTACGAAATGGTCCCGTGAGAATTGGCGGGTCAATCCGGTACATTCGGGCAGCTACTAAATGAAAACGCGGCACATACATCTTAATTGAAGCATCCGCTATTCGTATTCTTGTAAAAGGAGTCGCACGACCATATAGTGTCCTCGCAACTTTAAAAAAGAATAACGATCCTGATAAATAAAGGCGAGTATATGGCGTATCCGCTTTTTCAGTCGGATATCCTGTGCGTAAGGGACGTTTAATGACAGAAACGGCTCCAATGAGAGTCTGAAGTTGAGGCAAATGTCGAAGGAGCAGAATAATATTCCAGCTCAATAAATCTGTGCAGTAATAAAATGGGAAATTCTTTCGGATCAATTTGCATCTTACCTGATATATTGGCCCTCTTTCAAAGGGAAATTTATGACCCTTTAATGACACAGCAATTTCAAGATACTTACGTTTATAAGTATATTCCAACGAAGAGATCCAATAATTCTCTACTATTAGCGAGTTAAAATGTTTTTGTTAAGCTATAATATGAACTCGACTCGATTTCATAAAATATGATCACCACGTAAAAAAAATTGTCGATCAATGTTGCCGAATGACTGGAGTTTGGAAGTGAATGATTACGGGAGGCACAGAGAGCAGATCAAGTGGAATCTCCCAGGAAAACGCCAAGCAGGCCAGTAAAAGTCCTTAAAGACATCAAAATTCGAAGATTAAATACCCCCCTACATAAAATTTCAATGGAGCCATTGATTGCTAAATTTTGTCTGAGAAAAACAAAACCGCAAAATATGTGGCAAGACAAAAATATCAGCAGTACTCACCAACCTGTTAACAGGTGTTAAGTAGCATTCAGGAAAAGGGAAGGGATATTGGAAGCGAATATGGATTTTTAAACCAAGAGTTTCTAACCCTTCATTCATGCTATATTAAAATAAATAAAAGTCATTTCTCAAGAAATAAAATCATTGGTGAAATATTCCAAACCTGTGTCTGATTTGAAGTTGGTACGCATGGTAAATCTTTAGTAAAATATTACCAACCTGTTTTTAATTTAAAGTTGCAAGGACCCTATTGAAAAACGTAAGTAAAGGTATTGGCAATACCTTCACTTGATAAAAACAAAAATTTTCTGAACAAATTATTTCCAAATAATGAAAGTGGCTTTGTATAGCGAATATGATTTTAATTCTCTACACCTTTGTGAAGTCAACTATAAACTAGACCAGTTTAGGTATTAGGTGAATTCCGCTAATCCAATACAATGTCCAATTATCCATGAAGAACTAATTCTAATTATCCGGCCTACATACCTTATAAAAGTAATACTCCATATCAAATCGGTGCGAATCGCCATTACATCCCAGGACAAGGCTCTATTTTTAGTATTGAATGCAATTCGTAAAATTAAGAAGTGATCATTGCCGAAAAATGCGATCATTACGAGCTGTGGCTACCAGTTTATTGCCCGTGGCGGAAATATAGAGGTATTAGTTTCAGTTAGTATATACGAATACGAATGTACGATATTCAACTTAAACTGCATTGTCAACGTCTACTCAAGTGACTAGTAATTCTAAAATAAAACTTATTTGTAACTTATTAAAATGACAACAACAACAACAACTGCGCATTGCTTTCAGTAGAGAAAAGCCCATTTAAACAGCAAATGGGCGGCATTTTCTTTATGGAGCATGGGCGAATTACTTGCCTTACCTTAATTAGTACCTTAAGTTCAACAAGCATTGCAAGTCCTCCCAGATGTCTACAGTAGACTACGCTTTTTATCCATTATTGATTTTTGGGTGAACGAAATTTCATTTGCCCACTGTAAGTTGAGAACTTATTTATAATTTATAGTCTTGCGAAGTAGTTTACAATTGATTTTAATTTTAAACAAAACAAAACAAAAAGAACGAGAATAACTAAAAATTATTGGGGATCTGAAGGGCAAAGTTTAAATTCAAATCCAGTTTTATGAACATTGAATTGATTTAAGGAATAGTACTTATATGTTTCTAGGCTTGAGACGCAGGTGATTTCTACCGTTTCAGCGCTACAAATTTGAATATAATATGGAATTATGCACTATATAAAACATTCAACAAAATTCTTTTTTACAATAAAAAAAAACTAGGACTTTTGTAAACTGTTATAAATATAGTTAATGTCTAAGAAAGCCAAAATATCAAGAATATACACGATCAAATGAATTTTCCAATTCTTAAAATAAAACAAAATCCGTCAGTATATTTTTATAATAAAATGTTTTTTCTATTATAATATTTTTGAAAGAAATTAAAAAGAAGGTTTAGTTTATATAATTACTTAAAATTGTCCCCCTCTTCAAATCGTGAAAACAAACTGAGAGGTACTCATTACTTGTCTTCGATTCTTCAATATACTCGATATTTCCTATTTTCACAGGAAGACAATGAACACGAATCTCAGATGGCAGATTCTAGCTCTACCAATTCATTTACAATCACATGCATAAAACTATCTGCTAATTCTGCAAGTTTATAAACACGTTTCAAATTGGAATGTAACAGAAAGCAATCCATTGTAACTAGTCTCGGGATGGATCGGGTTAAGCGGTTTCTGACTGCTGATGGAAAAATACGAATATACTTTATTCAAAGGCTTATCAAGTGGCTAGTAATTCTGAAATACAATGATTTAAATGATATTTTATTTGTAACTTACTAAAACAACAATATTTCTTTATCCGCGTTTATTTTGCGAGTTGCTTTCAGTACAGGAAAAACTGGACGGCATTTTCTTTACGAAGCATAGGCGAATTAATTACTTACGTGTGGAAAAGTGTAAAAATGAAGAAATATTTTAAATATTAGTTTGATAATAACAATAATTAGTCCATTAAGTTTAACAATTGCAAGTCCTCTTAGATGTCTACAGTAGACTTTTTATCCATTATTGATTTTGTGTGAACGAAATCTCCTTTGCCCACTGGAAGTTGAGAACTTATTTACAATCTACGGTTTTATTAGTAGTCTATCACTAAGTCACTTTTGCGTAGGATATCTTAGGAAATTGACCGGGCCTAGTAGGGTTTCTCGATACTTTTTATTTCTGATCATCAATACCTTATCAGCTGTTTGATTGGATAAATTGCTATTAGTATTTTTGTTTCAGTGCGCCAAGGGTTGTAAACTGTGGAGAAAGGCTCTAACGTCCTCCTGTCAGAGAATATGCGTAAGTTAATCTTTTTCTTTTCTTATCGACTATCGACTTGGAAGGTGCATTTCTAATGAACGTTAACTCGATTTTATTGAGCACTTAAGACTTGCATGACCTAGGCCTTCAGTTGCATTAGTGCGTAAAGGTATAACACTGACCTAGTTTTTATTATACGGAGATCGGTAATATCCAATTTAGAAAGTTATTTCAGTTTTAGCAATAAATTGCGATCAATATTTCAGAACGGAACGTCAAACCGCTTGACATCGCGAGAACTTTACTGCGTCATGGGATGCAACGACGCGATAGCGAAATATTTCTCCGAATTGCGATCAAGGTTAGGGATTCCCCCGGCACCGGCGTTACTGGCGGGCTCTCTCGAATCCACGTCGCTGAAGCTAGAGTGGAAGTTTCCGGAAGCGGTCAAAGTTGGATTGAACTGTCACGTTCAGTGGCGGTACGAAGAGTTGGCCGCCACCTGGCAGTATTGCAGAAACGTAACTTGGAATGCAGACAATAGCAATTTTTTCGTACAAGGCCTGCAACCCTACACGAAATACAGGGTAAGACCGGATTACGCGGCTCTTTTTATTTAAAAATTCATCAATTCGACAGGTTTCCGTTTCAATATGGCATTTTTCTGACAGTATGACGCCAATATGCTCAGAAAGAAAGAAAAATTCCCAAAGTACTGGTTAGTGTGTGAAATTTAAGAGCATGCGTGAAACATCGTTCCCATTTTTCAATAACAGTAACAGAAATATATAAAAAGAACATCCATTAATGTTTCGTTGCTTGGTTTTTGAAACCATTTTGGAGTAAGTGTTATGACGTTGAAAAGTTGGAAAATCTTTGTTTTTTTTTTTTAATCAGAACTACAAAACTGCGTAACAATGAAAATAAGGATCACGTCACGCTCTTTTCTTAAAGAGTTGTTTCAAATTGTTTTATACGGAACTATAATTTTAAATTTAAATTAAATGAATTCGTATTATTTATATGCTTATATAAAGTTGGAACTCTTGTTGATGAACTCTTGATGACGAAAATGGCATTTATGAAACTTGTCGCATGATGTATTATAAAAATTGATAAATAAATAAATATTATTCATTAATTTTTATTTGAAATAAAAAAATTTGAAAAATCGGTCGAACTTGTCGATTCCAGATCCAAGGGCGATATTTTTTTGTTGATTAAACCCCCCTTGCCACAGATGCTGAAAATAATTTGCATTGTTCATCCCAGTTAAGGCGTCACCGTGCTGGTTCTACGGATAGCGAAACGGAATATGTTGATATTAAATTATCAAAATAATATTTTTATTATTAGTACTTTGTCTTACGAATGTTGAAACAGATTTTAAAATGTTAGCGAATGGACGGTTTTGTTTTGTGAACCAACCTTCATATTCAATCAGCAAGCGTTTCGCATCACCGACGTTTATTTTTTAGTTCCGCATCGCCCTCAATTTGGGACACGGTCTCGGGGACCCCATTCTATCCGCTCAAAGCGTTGTGATTTCTACACTGGCTTCCGGAGTGCCCGCTTCGCCGCCTGTCAACGTTAGGGCGGCACCAATGGATCCCCATTCGGTCAGCGTCAGCTGGGAACCCGGACCTTTCCCGCACGGCCCACTCCTTTCCTATGTCGTTCAAATCACCGATAGTTATCCTTCGGAGGGCGCCGAGTCAGCCTTCTCAGAAATCAAGGTGTGCCGCGTGTTGTCGAGCAATGAAATAGCACTATGTTGATCGCTTTGGCACAGTTTCTACTTTTTGTCATTGCTTTGGCAGAAGGATAACGAAAACGCTTAAAGTAGTACCGCAGTCAAAATAAATAATCTAGAATTATACCCTTTTGCGAATAGACTATGCCGCAGTTTTCTGTTTTCTATCACCTCGATATTCAAAACTTTAAAATATGTAAATCTATTAGATCCAGTCACTTACCTTCCAAATTAAAGGAAATATGGCGAGAAAACGCAAATTACCGAGTTTGTTATTTAATTTTTTACAAGATACATTAATGATGTCTTGACATAGTCTCTATTTTTTTAAAATATTTTCCACCAAAGCACTGACCTAAAACTACCGTTACCGGATATATATATATATATATATATATATATATATATATATATAGCCTTTGTTTGAACCCTTACGACCATCTGCATAGGCAGTACTTACTATACTTAGACAATACTTCCATCAATTCCTGTCGGTCGATTTTCTTAAGATTTTTCCCGAAATTTCTACTACTATTAACTCTCGCGACCACCAATGAATCACGCGGTAGAACACACCTATTTTAGAAAGATATTGTCCTCTTTTTTTTCTTGATTGTTTTTAAACCCTCAAACAGAGTGATAATCTTTGGTTGTATAGTTCCGAAATGTATTTAACCTCACTTAAATGGCATTTGTTTCAATCTGTAGCCTAATTCACTGCAGTTGCACCTTGTACACACGCAACATATAATTTAGATTTTAGATAAATATTCTAACAAGCATAAAAAAAATTTACCTCTTATCCTATTTCTCTCCACCTTTATGTGTCGCTAACAGTTATTTGTTTTACTGACCAGCATGCCTCCTTAACTTTTCTATATCGAATAGCTACTAAATTAATTGCGAACAATTTAATGAACATTTTTCAGTGCATCGCTACTATTTCTAAATTAAGAATTGGGCTATATTGCCTTCTATATAGTCCGTATATCTTGAGATACTACATTATATCAGAAAATATAGCAGATATAGCGTAAACTTAAATGCAACAGTTACAATCAATGTGATGGTGCATATTTGATAAATAGTATAAAAGTATGAGCGGTTAAAATGTTCATAATAAAAAGCTTTTTTCTACTGCATCAAGCGTGCGTTAAGTGTTTCTAAATCAAACTTGTGAATAAAGTGGCGTTTATCAAATTAGTTGCATAATATACATATTTAATTCTTTGGAAGGCTTTCAAATGTTTGTTACCAATATAAAACGCGTCACATGAAATTCCTGCGAGATCAATACTTAGAATGTTGAATAAGTTTTTGGTGCTACATAAGAAAAAAGCAGTTTTCTAAAAAAACCTAATTATTTTGGAAAGTTAGGAAGGCATAATATAGTGAAGGAAAAAGAATTGAAATAGATAAAGATTATTGAAACGCCATTTTGAAGGAACTTTTTATTATCTACGCCGTGCGGACCAATTAAAATGCGAACATGTAAGTTTAACCAGACGTATTCTAACTTAGGACACATGAATCTTAAAAAGTTTGTGCTATTGACAATCTGTGAGAATATTTGATAATATACAAACAAAAATGACTGTCTGCCAATTTTGTGTAAAACTTTTTAAACACCCTGCACATAGCAGAGGTGCAGGGAACTAACCAGTACTTCGGATACTGGTAAATTGCAGCTAAAATTTCAACTTTATAAAATATACAACTGACCCAGCAATAAGAATTTACGCTGAAATGTTTTAAATTAATTTAAACAAAATATAAATAAAGTCAACGTTGTTGTGAAAGACAACACAATTTAAAGTTAAAATATGCACCAGTTTATATCTTAGAAATTTTGTCACATTTAGGTACGTAGAGTCCCAAGATTGGCGTCGCTTTAATCCACCTTAAATATTAAAGCAGTTCTCGGTTTGCATAAATCAGCTAACTTATTCGAACCGCACTGCTTTTAAGTTGAATGAAACTAATTTGATGCTTTTAATGCATTGTTGTTTATAACCATCTTATAAGTATGTCAGAAATATAAATTTATCTAAAAAACATAATCACGAGAGATAACAACAATTGAAATATGAAAAATGTTCAGATGTTCTCCAGAAATCTGCTTAACTATGTGATTTGACTCAAACAGGATATAGGACCGAATAACACTTTTTATATATTTCGAAACCTAAAATCCGCAAGAAATTACACGGTCGATGTTAGAATGAGGAATAATTACGGCCCCGGCCCCGTCGCTAGGACTCTGATGTCCACACCAGCCGAGACGCACAGTAAGCTCAGTAAACTCTTTCGTCTATTGAACTGTATACAATTTTTTTGCAGATACGGAAAATCAAAATCCCATCCTTATAATTGGCACCGAACACAGCGTATTTGAATTAGAGTATATGCTAGGGGAACCCATTCATTTACTACATTCAGATCAAGTACAATTGCAAGGTAAATTTAAGAAATGCCTTTACTGAATTCTCTGTACCAAAATCCTTATGCTCAGGTATAGATATTCACATTAGTCAAAAATTGCTGTTTATATCCGACGACAATGGGTCGGTGTGGAGAGTACCAATCGAACAAGAGACCAAAAATAAAACGCTAATTCTCACAAAGAGTCAATTGGGATTTGTACCATTAAATATATCAGTCGATTGGTTAAATGACCAAATATATATACTGGGAAAGGTGACGCCAAGGAAAGATCAGGAGCGATACATTATAAAACGCTGCAATTTAGAGGGAGGTGATTTGACAGTTGCTTTCGCTGGTTTAAGCAGACAACCAACCACCATGCAAGTGGATCCTTGCAATGGGTAAATTTTGATAGCATACATTCGCTTATATAATAGTAAATTAATTTTTCAGTTACCTATTCTGGTCCATCCAAGATTATAATAGAGGCGGTCTTTATCGTCTCGATATTTCCGAAATTAGCAACGGAATCAGGCACGAAGTGAAAGTTAAGAAAATTTCAAACGAAACAGATCTCGGCGCATTCATAATTGACCATACCAACTTTAGACTTCTGGTGTCGTATCAACGCGAAAATACCATCAAAGCAGTCTCACTGGATGGGTAAGTAAATTAAAAAGTAACCAACTGTTCCTTGAGAAAACTTTCGCTTTTCAGGCAGGAAATAATCAATCTAAGACCAAAGGTCGCCAACGCCAAGTTGAAAAAAGTGATATCACTCGCAACGGCCAATAAAAAATTTTATTGGACCGACGGAGATAATGTTTATTACGAAGAATATTATCCCTCATGGGAGAACTATTTTCACAATATGATAACTCATTTGGGTAAGAGTAAGTACAAAAAGATCCTTATCAATCTACCCGGCAACCAGCCGTGGCCAGTACCACTTAATCCACCTACCAGTTTGCAAGGGATATTTGAGAGCAATATCGCGAAGATCAAGTGGCAACCTCCACATTTGTTGGGTTTGCAAGGTAAAGGTGCGTGGCAAAACTGGTCTTACGAAATTACTGTTAAAGACACAAATTTGAACAAAGTTATGACTTATAAAGATATAAACACGACTTCATACACGATTGCAAATTTAAATCAAAATACCGAGTACATCCTTAAAGTGTCCGCCTACAGTAAATTCGGCCAAGGTCCGTGGTCTTCAGAATTTAAAGGAAACACATTAAGCTCGAATACAAATCCATTGATCTTTTGGTCCGCTGGAGATGGTTTGATGACCTCTAACGCGATATGCGAAAATATTACCACCATAATCCACAAAAGTCGACTGAGGAATCTTCACTTTACAGATATGTCATGGTATAAAGATCAGGTCTACTTAGTAAGTCAAATAGCTAAGCCGCTGGTATATTGGTTAATATGTTTAGTGCATTTTAGCTTACAAACAACAGCCATGTTTACTATTATAATCTGACGTCGCATAAAAAAGGTAGATTGGTTGATATTGATTCAGTAGGCAGTATCGCAGTGGATTGGATTGGGAAAAAACTGTACTGGTCTAATCTTAAACAACAGTTGGTAAGTTTCCACCATTTTTTCAATTTAGCTGCTAAGTTTCTTAAGCTGTCGTTATATTTATTTTTAAAGATAATTCGAGGCAACCTTAACGGAACTCAACAAGAACCACTGCCAATTTTAACATTGGCCAAAGAACTGAACATTGATTCAGTGAAAGCTTTCTTGTATTGGTCCACAGAGTATGTAATTGAATGTACTCATCTTAATGGCGTTGATAGAGTTCAGTACCACCATGTCGAATTATTTTCGGGAAAACAAGGTATTCACAGTATCAATGCAAATTTTTGGCATAAAAAAATGTAAAATATTTTTCAGTTATGGGTCTTACTTTGGACATGGACCAAAAGTATGTATACTGGATAGTAAGAGGATCAGATGGTTCAAATTTGTTTAAAGCGCCGATGGCGGGTTATACTGACAAAAGTCAAATAAAACTTGAAAAAGTAGGATTACTGCAAAAACCGAATATGCAAGGACCAATTTGTTATTTTCACAAACACCTACTTTGGCTACAAGATGAAAGAAATGCCGTTATTAGTGATTTGGTTGGAAGGAACTTAGCTACGCTAAGCAGTAATTCTATATGGGGTTTAAATATGGTGTACGTGGTCGACAACACTCTACGGTCGTTACCGGCTAACTTCACGTCATGGGAAGACATTATTGTTACTCCGGAAACAGTAGATGTTACATCTGTAAAAGTATTGGGCTCGTCTGAATCTTTCAATATAACTTGGAAGCCCATTGCGAATGTCAACTATGGAACTGTGTTTTACGAACTTCACATCGACGGTATCTCTAAGAATAACTCTGCCGTAAGAAAGTTAACATCCATTTGAAAATATAATCATTAAAACTGCTTAATCGCAGGTGGTAACCAATGAGCCGACAATTCAGTACTGGAAAACAATTGCGCCATTTACCAGGATATACGTCGCAATTCGCGCATTCACTTATTGGGCAACATCTCCTCAAATACGGGCAGAAGTATATTCCCCACCCTCCACCCCCTCGGCGCCGCGAAATCTTAGATTTTACGTTGCTTATGAAAATAAAGAAGACATTAACATTTCGAATTATGCATCAATAACATTTCGATGGGATCCGCCGCTATTTCCCAATGGGGTTCTTCAAGGTTATAAAATTAGGCAAGTTGCAAATTATAAGTTATTGATCACATGCGAATATTTAAGGCTGTGCTTCTATGTTTAAAGTTACAGTGGTCAAAGATCAAATATATAGGGCTCAAGCTAAGAACTTCTTTTAATTCCTATTTATTTTATTTTATTTGTTTACATCTTCTTACCTTTATAGGAATTTCACTACAACCGATAAAATTATGAAATTGATTGATAAAAAAATCGCTATGTACCTTTCACAAAACTCGTATCCGATCATAAATTTTGGATGGACATCTTAATTTATTTGAATCCTGCAGATGTTTCGCCAAGATCTCGCTTGGCATCTTCAATGCTCGCGCTCCGAAAACACTTTGAACACTGAATCAATACATGCAAAATAAAATATTTACAGGATCAAAATAACAATATGACAAATATTCGTGTTTAAATTTTAGGTGAAATTAGTAAGACTTGCCATGGATTCTATTAATATTCATCTAATTGTTCATCTAAATGTAGATATCCATGCTATTTACAAATCTTCTGGATTCCTTTGACTGAAACGGTTTCAGTAAAGCTCCGATGAAACCGACATCGACGAAACATCAGCAGGTCGGATTCATCAGCAACCGACGCAGGAGGAATCCAGAAAAATTATAATTAGAGTCACAGTCTGTGGAAATTTCTTTTAAAAATTAGAAAACCATGAATATCACTGTAACTTTCCTGTTTTTATTTAAGTTTTAGTAATTTCACCTAAAATTTAAAAGTGAATATTGTAGTAGTGAGTATTAATTTAAAACAATGCAAATTATGTCTTTATAATTACTAAAAGATAATAGATAAAAACTCGTACATCTTTAGTACTTAAAGCTTTTTTCTAAATCTTCAACACTTGGCTGTAGATATGGTGCAAAACATAAACAAACGCCCTGTACATACAACTCTTTCTTAATCTTGCAATTCTCTCAACTGGTCAATTTTAAATATGAAAATATATATGTATATATATATATATATATATATATATATATATATATATATATATATATATATATATATATATATATATATATATATATATATATATATATATATATATATATATATATATATATATATATATATATATATATATATATATATATATATATATATATATATATATATATATATATAATTTTTTTTTCAGAGCGCGAGCATTGAAGATGCCAAGTGAGATTTTGGCGAAACGTCTGCAGGATTCCAGTCGGAGTTCAACAAGCGAACGGATGATATCCCGGAATATAGTGTCATCACATTTTTCCATCCGTGAATCAATACATGAGAATATATATATATATATATATATATATATATATATATATATATATATATATATATATATATATATATATATATATATATATATTATATATATATATATATATATATATATATATATATATATATATATATATATATATATATATATATATATATATATTCTCATGTATTGATTCACGGATGGAAAAATGTGATGACACTATATTCCGGGATATCATCCGTTCGCTTGTTGAACTCCGACTGGAATCCTGCAGACGTTTCGCCAAAATCTCACTTGGCATCTTCAATGCTCGCGCTCTGAAAAAAAAATTATATATATATATATATATATATATATATATATATATATATATATATATATATATATATATATATATATATATACATATACACCTTTGAATGTTCGCAAATAACTAAGACACAATCTGTAGCAAAATATAATTATAATTGTTTTAGATGTTGGTATGCCGAAAATGAAGTAGAAACAGATATTTGTGCTGTCGAAAAACCAGCTAACGAAACAGAATTTGAAATGACAGAAGTGGAGTCCATCGCACAGATATATTTTCAAGTAAGATATAATCCCCCCTTTTTTTTAAGTGAAAAATAAAATATTAGAGTTTTCCATTGGATACATAAAGTATCCAATCGTCACCTAATTAAAATTAGGAAAACAAAACAAAAATTATTAATACTGATACTAAAATTAAGCAAATTGTAATAACAAATAAATTGAAATTAGTTTTAAAATAATTGCTTGCTAGTTCTATGTTCCATTTCATATTTATATACAGGGTGCTATTCAAATGACATCATCATATAATTTAATGAGGGGCTATGAACCCCGCCCGGTAGCCGAATCTATATTTTGTTCCCTCGAATTCGTTGTTACGGTCGAATATCCCTGTCAGACTGCCAATCGACGATGTCGTAATGTAGTCCCGTTAGACTTGGTCAAATATTTCACGTTAATTTATGTAACCGATGCAAAATATATTTACTCTATTTATCTGGTTCATGACTACGAACTTTTTTTACAAACTGCAGTATTGAGTAAAAGCTATGGAGGGCTTGGAAAGGAAAATCTGACATGTTTTAGTTAACGTATCTAGTGGACACATTATTCGACGATATTTAAGAAGTATTTGCCTCGACGATAAAAAAGCCAAAAAAGTAGGACTCAATGTTTTTTAAAAATCATATTTAATATAATCTGTACAAAATCAAGTATTAACTAATAGTTCAAAAAACAATTTATTCTTAAGAGTTAAATTTGGAATCATAAGGCAGCGTAAATTAAACTGAACGGTTGATAAGGTGGAATACTAAAGAAGACTTGACTAGCATCGTAACATGTAACACCGACATGTCCTTGCTGATGCTCCATTTTAAAACAATGGTGTAAAGTGTCAGCCTCGGTTTATGCATTAGTGGTGTCCGACTTTTTTTCTTCTTTTCCTTCTTATTATTATACAACGTGAATTTAAGGCAGTGAAATATTTGAACTTTTGATCATTGACCATTACTAGATCAACACAGGACGTCTTTGTCAGGTTACATAAGGATCAATTAAAACACAGCGATAGGTTTTAAAAGTTCAATTACAAAACCCCTTTTGTCAACTTTATTGACTTGGCTGCTTTTTCATGCTTCATAATAAAAAGTTTGGATGGGGATTAGGTAAACAAGACTTGTTCCCAAACATTAATTGAAATTTTTACAAGTCACCCTGCTGTTTTATATATAACTAATTCTTGTACTAATGTGAATCACCCTGTATATAGAATATTGATGGTTTATCAAGAATACCAACAGCTTGGTTGGTTCGTTTAATATTTTGTTATGTTATGATATAAATTGCAAAACTGTTATTAAAAAAGTAAATTGGTTCAAGGTTCAAGCGTTCACGGAAATTGGGTATGGTATTGAATCACAGCAAATATTAGTGAATACAAGTCAAGAGTCGCCCATTCCCACATTAATCATCGCCTCTACCGACACTATTTCCCTGGACGACACTGATTCGAATCAAAATCACAGCTTAGTGACCGCTATAAATGCCCCCATCGAAATTGGACTACTGATAAGGGAAGAGAAATTATTTTGGATTAATAACATGCAGGAGATTTTTATGTACCATTCTAACACGGGAAATAAATCTAAAATCATGGATATTAAAGATACACCCAGAAGTTTAACGATTGATTGGTTGGAACGAAGTTTATACTTCTCTGAAGTATCTGAAGATATCTCACAATCTACCGTCTACAAATTAGATTTAAATTACCTTGAAAACAATAATCTCGTAAACGTTAAGACGTTGTTTTCCAGGACCGCCAACATATCTAAAATCGAAGTTTCTCCGTTCGCCAGAAAATTATATTGGGTAGAAACGGTTGACGATTTAACATTCAAAATCATGCAAAGCAACCTAGATGGTTCAGATTCTCGAGATTTTTTTCTAAAAAGTTTAAAACGAAAGCGAAGTATTGTTGAAGAATCTTCAGACGAGTCTCAATGTAACTGCACACCCAATGTTAATGTGGAACCTACATTTACACTTGATCACTCAGACGTAACAGCATTACCCTCACTTGTCTTTGTCGATTCAGAAACCAAGGACATAATTCAGGCCGACAAAAACGGCTGTATCTGCAAGAAAATCGTCGAAAATCACGTGGTCAGCAAAACATACCCAATTAAAACCTTGAAATCAGATTTCGGGTCCCTATATTGGACCAATGGCAACGGATCGTTGTACGTCTTCAAAAGACCCGAATCAGCATTAATAACAAAAAGATTAGAAGCAGTAGACTTTTTGATTTATGGGAAACATACGCAACCACAACCTGCTCTGAAGTGTCTAACGCCCCAACAGCACAATAACTTTATAGCTACTCTAGAAACAAAGACAGCAAGCTCTTTGCTTCTGAATATGCCGGAGTTTTCTATACATGAAAACTGTTCGAATACAACAATGGCGACAGTTAGGTACACGATCGTCTACAAGGAATTGTTTGGAAAAGAAAAAATGGAAGACGCTACAACCTTTGACAAAGTGTTTTGGATAAACAATCTGAAACCATTTTCCAAATATGCTGTTTCCATTGCGCTGTGTAATTACTTTACCAAAGAAAGGGATATTATAGTGGGTCCACCTATAACATTTCAAACTGCTCCAGGAGGTAAGTAACACTGCTAACAAAAAGTCGATATAAAGAATGGCCCAACAACAAAACTATTTCTATTTAGTTGATAGCCAGAACTAGTTTCATCGTATAGGTTATTAGAACTCTGCGCGGTCACAGACTGCAATATTGATACAAGATACAAGATACAAGCAATTAAGGTAAAATAAACTTGTTCTACGAAGCGCGCTATGTCGCATATGGTTCGAATTAGAATGGAGATACTTTAACAACGTATTCAGCAGATAAAAATAAGTAAAAATGTTCATATAAACTGTGTTCTAAAATGCTTCATTCAAAATTCTAAAAATCATATTCATAATTGTACAAAATTTTCATTAGGCTCAGCCAATATTAGGGCTCAATTAGATTCTGCTTATTGGGTAAATATAAGGGCACTTCTTCCTTCCGAGAATCTCGAGATATTTCGTGGACTTATTAATTTTTTTGCTAAATTAGATACAACTCTAAGCGGGCATCTAAAAAATTATTCGATATATGATTGAAGTTTGTCAAGAACAAATAATTGAGGAAATTACTGATTCTACATTTTTGGCTAAGGTAAATTTATTTGCAAGAATTGCAAAATACCTTAAATTTTTCCCGCGGACCGCCACTGTTGAAATGTTGAGTTTTAGAAATTAAATCGCCTTTAATAATATTGAAATTCCCCAGTTTTCCATAACACATCCCGTTTCAGCTCAAAGCTGAAAAAGAACGTTTTTTGGCTTTAATAACTTGTGCCCGTCTATCCAATCTATTATTCTAACACAGAGTGTTTTATTTGCAAAATATGTTCGATCAGAAATTTTGGCACTACCCGGTATGATATAAGTTTGTTAATGTCGCATTTATCGGTCAACCATATATTAAAAAATCGTAATACCCCCCCACCCCTCCCTGGTTGGGTGATAATGCTCCGCCGCATTTTGGATAGCCAACCCTGCACAAAGCTTCATTTTTTTTTCTACGAAATAAAAAACAAATTTATTTAAGTTTAGTAGTCAAGAAAACAGTTTATAAATTGTGTTCGATACTCTGCACCGGGCCACATATTTAGTTCCCGTGTAATTCAATTCAATTCACATTATTCATTCCTTATTTCTTTCCTTTTAACGTTACAGCACCTTCCAAACCGCAAAACGTAACAGCATCTGTTTTGCAACCCACTCTGGCACGAATAAACTGGTTGCCTCCTGAGCAACTTAATGGAGCAGTAGTCCGATACGAAATTCACTGGTTAACACAAGATTTGTTCAGTCGCCAGAGGGGAGAGCAGCCCGTAGTGTATGTCCAATACGCCGATAACAGCAGTACGCTAACTAATTTGTTACAAAAATTAACCCCAAACGAGACTTATACTATTTGGGTTAAGGCTTACAGCGAGATGAACGAAACATCTTCCGAGAGCGACCCAGTACAAATTACAACCTATCCTGAACCAGAGAATTTAATATTAGTGAATAAAACTTCCCGCACCCTATTGCTGGGCTGGAAAGTCACACAACATATCAAAGAGTTTCTCATTGAATACACATCCATTGCCTCTTCTTACGAATGGCAGGAAGCAAAATTCATTAATGACAACAGTGAAGAGATAAAAATTAACGTTGAAAAGTTGAAACCAAAAACCCATTACAAATTTAGACTATCTTTATTATACAATAATCATCCAGAGTGGTATATCTGGCCCAAAGATTCCAGGTTTACCTTTGAAACTCTTGGTGACAGACCTAGTCCTCCTGGCATTCCTATTATACAGTATGTCAAACCAAACGTTTACAAGGTGGTATGGGAAGTTTCACAAGAAAATGGAGCTCCAATTGAGCTATATATGCTGGAGGGTTTAAAAATTAGAATATTTAGGGATAAAAGAAGTACAAATGCCAACCGAACTGCCTGGTTTTATGGTGCTCCCTCAATAGAAGAAGAGAGTTTTGAATGGGAATCCCTTTATAATGGCACAGGTAATAGTACATAGGAAACATCATAACTTTGATTAATAATAGATTGATTTTAGATACTGCATGGATAATAGATGGGCTAAGTGACAAATATAAGTATGCATTTAGGGTATCCTCCCTGAACTCATTCGGTTGGAGTGACCCTAGCGTTGAAAGCAATGAATTTGATATAAGTGAAGCTGACAGTATGTTACAGAAGCAAAGTTCCATGAACCTTATTTTCATTGCAACTTTCGTGCCAATATCTATATGTCTTTTTGTTGTAATTTGCTTTGCATACAGTAAGGAGATGTCTAAAAATATAGTATTCATTGCACAGTTTTAATTGTTTCAGTGACACATTCTGGACGATGCAGTAAACAAAAAAAAATTCAGCATGTGATGCCCGTAGCCAGGCGACCAGATGTGGAACTAGCCACTCTAAGGGAGCTACCACGTAGGGGTATACACAGTACTAATATATTGTACGTTTCTGCGGTATCCACCCCCGAGGAAATTACCATGTTGCCACATATAAGGAGAGATCAAATCACTCTGACCAATTTCCTGGGTAGTGGTGCTTTTGGCGAAGTTTACGAGGGAGAAGCGAAGCAATTGGGTAATGGGGCAAGCGATCTAAAGGTTGCTGTCAAAACCCTAAAAAAGGGCGCTTCAGAACAGGAAAAAAACGAGTTTCTTCAAGAAGCCCAACTGATGAGTCACTTTAAGCATGAACATATATTGCAACTGTTGGGGGTGTGTTTGGATAACGATCCCCATTTTATTATTATGGAGCTCATGCAAGGTGGCGATTTGCTGATGTTTTTGAGGAACTCAAGGACTCAAAATGTATGTAAGAACTTGCAACATCATTAAGAATAAAAAATGTTTATTAAACTATCAGTAATTTCACTGCCATTATAATATATATGAGATCTTAGGAAAACATGTTTTTTGAAAAATGTATAGAGTGCTCCATTAAAAAATTCATATATTATCAAAAGTTTGATGTGCATTTATTTCTTTCAAAATTAAGCCAATTTTTCCTGTGTTACAGAATGTACCATCATTAACTCTAATAGAGCTGCTAAAAATGTGTGTTGATGTCTCAAAGGGTTGTAAATATCTAGAAGAAATGCACTTTGTACATAGAGATCTTGCTTGCCGGAATTGTCTAGTTTCATCTGTTGAGAGGGAAAACCGCATCGTAAAAATTGGTGATTTTGGTTTAGCCAGAGATATTTACAAGAACGACTATTACAGAAAAGAAGGTGGACTATTACCAGTCAAGTATGAAATAAAACAGATTAAAAGGAAACAATATCATTGCGCCAAAAATTTCAGATGGATGGCACCAGAAGCATTAGTCGATGGTGTTTTCACCAGTCAGTCGGATGTTTGGGCATTTGGCGTGTTATTATGGGAAATTATGACCTTAGGACAGCAACCCTATCAGGCGAGAAGCAATTTAGAAGTTCTGCATTACGTGAGAGTGGGAGGAAGACTAGGGAAACCCACCGACTGCCCTGATGATTTGTATGTGCTCCTAGAAGGACCTTACCCAATTTGTACTTAAATTTTTTTCAGATATGTTCTTATGTTAAAATGTTGGGAGTTTGAACCAGAGAATAGGCCAACTTTCAAATATTGCCTAGAAGTTTTGGATCGTGCTCATCAACAACACATGAGAAATCCTATAACAGCAGCTCATTCACAATATATAAGCACTGTGCCAAATTGTAAGTCTAATATTTCAATATCAGCATGCAAATTTTTCATTATATTCGCTTTAAAACAAATAATTTCCATTTTTTTAACCAAATTGGACTTAAAAATATCTACCTTACCACCGCTTGAAACTGCATGTATGTTAATTCTGTGTTAATGTCGTAACTTACAGTGCTTGACGGAATATCGAATGCTGCATATTTTATCGATGAAAGCAAGAACAATCCAGGTAAAGCTTTCTAACATTATTAGATACATATATGTTTTCTTTGTTCCGTAAAATATATGCTTGCTGGGAAAAATTAATTAAACTTTACCATTTGAGCAGTTAATAACATATTCGCTTTAGAGCTTATGAAAAAAAAACATTGTAAAATGTATATTTTGAAAAGGTATATCAAGGACGAAAAGCGAAAGTGAAGATGAAACAAACAAGGAACAGACGCCGTTCCTAGCCCAAGAAGCAACTAGTTCAAGTACCAAAGAAGTTCCCAAATATTTAGAACTCGTGTATGATCCTGAACCAGAAACACCCACCTTAGAAAATGATGGATATGAAATTCCTAATCAGTCCATGGAAATGACTACTCAAAGCTGTGTGAAACCATCTGACAATACAACGGTTTCCAATGGAGTTGTTTACAGCAATATAATGTAAACAAGTTGGTGTTTGATACGTGTTAACAGTGGAAAAAGCTTTAATTTTTATGCTCAAATTCTGTGCCTTCATGTCATTTAAATAAAAACTACCTCACTTTAATGGCAATAAGTTGGCTGAGAGATAACATCTTTGACACCTCGCGCATATAGCTTGAAGAGCATTTATGACAATTGTACTGTTGTACCGCCTGATTAATTCACAGAAATGCTACTAAAATTGTTAATACTAATAAACCACACAATCTTGCCCTCAAGTACCAAAAATTTAAGTCTAAAAGAAATCATTGTTTTTAAGACTCATATTTAAGAAATGTTACCTGATAGCATAAGTGTCTTATTGTAGTGTACTATAGTTCTGGGGGACTAAGTTGTAGCTTCTTAATCTTTTTCTGCTAAGCAGACAGGGAACATCCATAAAATAACGGTTAATTGCAGTTTTAAGAAACAAATGTTAGCAGCCTTTTCAGTATTTTTGAATCTCAAAAGTTCAATCAATACTTTCATACCTCCAATTATCTCATCATCTATCTCATAAGATACCATTCACCTAATATAAGAAAAATTGTTAAATCAAGTTTCTAGTTTTGTTAAATCTACATTGGTTGTGGACATTCATCTGATTAAATTAGTTTTGTATAAATTTATTCAGACATTATCCTGTAAATAAAAAAAGCGAAATATTCAAAATATAAATAAATTGATAAAAATGTTAAAGTGAAAAAATATGATTTTTTCAACAAATTTCATTATGTCCAAAATTATAAAAACTTACAGATTACAACCAATATCTGAAACTTTTATTCCTTATAAAAATGTGTTATATTTTAGTTTTTTTAAGAAGTCGTTTTTGTTAGCTGTGTGTGTGTACAAACACTCAAAGAACTATATTTTTACCAAATTCAATTTTCTTTATTAGAATATAAAATTACTGTGTAAATACCTTTTATTGTACATACCAAAAATTGTGATCTAGTTTTAAGGTTAGATTAATTAGATTATCTTTAATAAAATGGCAAACATTATTTTCCAATATTCTTAAACCCTACCTCACAACCTTTTTTATGCAAAATGTTTTCAAAACCCTTACAATTATGTGAAGTATAAAGCTATATATTTTTAAAGTCAATGGTCAACACTTATCAGTGTATAAAAAAAACTTTTAGTCAAATCCATTAGTTTATTGCTAAACTTCAGACAATTCTTACAAGTTTCAAAATATTTACAAAATGAAGTAATCTTAAAGAAAAAAATTACTGTTCTTTCTTGACCTTAACATCTACTTCCTCTTCTTGTTTCACATCATCGTCCATACCTCCATCCTTGCTGTTTTCATGCAATAAAACATATTCCCTCGAACTAAATCCAAATTTAATCACATCCTTTTCCATAAGCTCATAGTACTTTTTTGGGTCCATTCTTTTGTCATTAATGTATGTCCCATTGGCTGATTCCAAATCTATTAGATAAGGTCTTACCTTTTTACCTGAAAAAATAAATAAAACAGTTCAATATTAAAGCATGAAATTACCTTTGATACCATACCAGTACTACCATCATCTCTTGTAAATGGAACTAATCTATATTGCAATGCTGCATGTTGTTTTGAACAAGAAGGGTGATCAACGGGTAAATCTACGATTTTTCGATCACGCCCAATAAGATACCCACTTTGCCTGTGGATATACAGGGTCTGAAGAGCTTTTTCACCTTTAAATGGATACAACCTCCATCTCCTCTTTGGTTTTCTGGCTTCTGGTGGCTCGCTGGAAATTTATTTTGTAATAATAACCCTCTATATGTCTAAAAAATATTATAACCTGTATTTAATTACAACACCTCTATAAGTATTAGTTTCTTCAGTTAATTTACCAGAAAGACCAAAATTTGGTTTCTCCTTATTAACAATAACTTTGTTTTTTTCTTTTTCTTCATTTTGATCTTTACCCCATTTTGCTTTGGCATGGTCAAAAGATCTGCTTCTACTCCTTTTTCTGTTTCCCCTGAATAATAATACATAAAAAAAACTATTTTAGAACCAATTTTTGCATACTACCTGCTCCTATTTTCTCTGTTACTTTCTCTATTATCTCTATTCCTAGTGTAACCTTTAGAATAATAACTTTCATCTTTATGTGGCTTATTATTGTAGTTTGTGATTTGACTTCTATCATCCCTCCTATCTCTTGTTCTATCAACCCTTCTTTCATCATCATAACCTTTTCTTCGAGAATCATTTTCAGCATGACGGTTTCTTGAATGATCACTGTAGAAGTGACCTGCAAAATCAAATCACTAAATTTGTAGTGGCCTACAGGGACATAATGTAACTAACCTTTCCGGCTTTCACGAGATCTTGGGTTAGATCTTTCTTCCCGACCAGCTTCCTTAGGGCCATGATGCTCTCTACCCCTCTCTTCCGATTTATCTTTCTTCTTTCTACAAATGCATTTAACCTTAATTCCTTCCTTTACTGAGAAAATATATTTTTGAAAAATAAGCAAAGAGTATCAGTAGTATTAGATTCCTACAAAAGTAGTGTTTTACTAAATATCTCTAAATTAAATGGGAAATATCTTATTATAATTACTTGGCTCTTTTCTCTTTCTCTGGTTTTTTATTTCTAGCAGGTGAAAGAGTCTTATTTCGAACATTATCATCAGAATTTGAACCACCAGCAGAATCACTTTCTGATGCAGACGAAGCATCGCGCTTCCTGGACCCCATCGTTTGAGGTGTTTTTCGAAAATAATATATATGAAGCTTGCAAAACTGGGACCTTAAAAACGTCAAAAACCTAAAGCATAGATCAAGGGCGACCTTCATAGATGGACTAAATTAAAAGCATAGAATACAAAAATTCATGTCAAGATATGTGGGCACTCTCAATCCAAAGATTTGGTATTAGTAACTGCTCTGTACGGCAACTGAGGATGGCTCGGTTGTTAAGGCGTTAGACCTGGAAATGATCGATTTTGTCCAATGGTTCATTTGTCCAAATCGTAATTTTCCTCGTAGAGAATATTTACGATATGTTTACATTGCAATGTTTTTAAAATACATCTGTTAATAGTTGCAGTGACTCAGCTTAAAAGATTCAGTTACATTTTAATTAATCAAATCAATTATTTTAAATAAGTCATTGCGGTAATAGTAAAATTGTATTTAGGTACCTTTTACTAGGAAAATTCAATACGGCGATTATAACTAATCATGAAAGGTTAATAAAAACGTACGCCCAATTGTTCTCACAGCTAAAATTATTGATGATTCTTAAATTTATTCAATAAGCAATATGATTTATCAATATCTTTATTAAATACTTCAGCTGCTACTATTTTGAGGATGTGGTTGTCAATTAAAACACTTTGGATTTTGCAAAAAATTAACCAGCTACCTAGCATACCCAAGAATCAAAAAGTAAAAGTTACCTAAGTAGTTGTCAGGATAACAAGTATGAAAAAATTGAAATTGCATCATAATTTTAGAAAAGAACAGTGCCCATTACTTAAAAGGTCAAATTGTCAAAAATCCCTTAGGTGACAATGAAATACCTACCTACACCTTCACTGTAGTAGAAGTAAGGTTTTTTAGCTAAACAATGGCGTAAATTGTTGTTCTTTGTATCATATCCAATAACCTCTACTTTATTTTGTTAACTGTTAATTTTATTTTGTTTGTAAGTACACTGTATAGTGGAAACCACCTGTATAAATAATTAACCAAAGTAAAATAATTTAACCACATTTTATGAATTCATTTGCTGAGCCGTGTATTTTAACCTCTCTCTTTATTTGGATAAATGTTTCTGCCGCTTTCGGGTGTTCGTCGCCGGTGCCTTGGGTGATTTGGGATTTGAACAAATGCACATTATAAGCATTTGTGGTTTTCCCTTAAGGCCCTCACAGACGCTGAGTTTTTTAACACAGGCAAATTTGTCCAGGTTAACTGTAGTATTGCCTGTCCCACACACACGCAGTTTTATAGCACAGCTCTTTCAATACAGCCAACTGCGTAAATTCACACTCACTAGTTTTGGCCCGTTTTTTCTTTACTTAGTAAAAGAAAATGGCTTCTCGAGACACGGCATCATATTGCATTGTGCTTGCCTGTGCAATAAAGAAAAAGCAAAAAAAAGCAACGGTTGGTTCAAAGAAGCAAATGGACCAAAGATTGGTTACTCAAAAGAAATGATTACTCCCATGTCAATTTGCTTGCTGATTTGAAACTCAAGAAGCAGGATTGGTTTAACTAGGATGGACGAGACAACCTACTTGAAACTATTGAAACTCGTTTCTCCTTTAATACAAAAGTAAGACACATGCATGAGGCAATCAATTTCATGCCATCAGCGGTTAACAACTATTTTTTTAACCACGGCTTCCCTATTTACTCCCGTATCAACTTTGAGTTTTTCCAGCAACACATCATAGGCTGCGCACTTTTTGTTTCTGTCACTGTATTCTTTACTCTTTATTTTCCCTAAACATGGTAAGCTTTTGTATACCTCAATAGATTCGCTGAAAAACTGTTTCTTAACATTCGTCATTTTGTTGCTTACTATCCCACACACGCTCAGGTTTCCAAGTTTGCGCAGGCTAAATTCAAGCACGGTCTGATTTTGCGCAGGCCAGGAAAACGGTCTGCGCAGTCAACCGGACGGTCACACAAACGCAACGATAGGCCTGCACAAACTAGGTTCGCACAGGCGGCCTGTATTAAAAAACTGAGCGTCCGTGTGGTTAGACATGACGACTCACCTTACCGGAGGTTGTGGGTTCGATTCCCGAAAAAATTGTTATGCGTAAATTTTCCTCGGCGGATGCCGGAAAATGGTGAATATCATAATTTGTGATGAGCGCGATTAAGAGTATAAAGAAAACTGCTCTGTAATAGGAAATCTACCTTCCATTTGAAAGTAATAAACAGAATTTATTTGACCAGATAACCAGATAATGAACAAATAACCCATATTCGCTGCTATCCTCAAGTCGTTAGGTGGGCCGATAATAGAGACCACAACAATTTAACAAAGATAGAAAATTGCTACATAGATAAAAATTTAAAATTAAAATTTTTGAAATTTATGTGAATATTACAGAGCAAAAATAAAAAATAAACACAGTTATTAAAATATGACTTCATTCAATTAGCAGAATAGAACCAGTCCATTACATAAATGGGGACAAACTTGTCAAAAATAAATTACAATACAGCACAATCAGTCAAAAACGAAACATGCACAGGAAAAACTATCTAATACATTGTCTCAAAGCGCTTGGTTTAACTTTGCCGGTTTCATCTTTCTTCTTGGCTTTAACTGGATCTTTTACAAAGCATTTCCATAACCTCAAGGTTTCATCTGCGCCAGCAGACAATATAGTCGAACCATCAGGAGACATTGCCAAGTGAAGGACTCTTGCTGTGTGGCCGTTCAACTCTGCTACCTACAAAATACCTAATGCTAGTAACAAAAACTTAGTAAAACAAATATGTATCACCTTTGTTATGGACGGGTATTTCCATATAATAACTTCATTATTTGCAAATCCATGTCCCGAAACAAGTTCTTTGTAATTTGTTGCCCATAGCAATGCGCACACCTGAGACTTGGTATCAATTGAATTAATACAGGACCCTGTATGACAGTTCCAGAATCTAATATGTCTATCGGCAGTGCCACCGCCACTTGCTAACACATGAGGTTGCCAAGGGCACCAAGCCAGAGCTTTTACAGCAGCTTGATGATGGGTAAATGAGTAAAGTGGACTTAAATCTGAGTAATATTGTCCACCAACGGCGGACCACACATTTAAAAGATTATCATTACCACCACTAGCAAGGTACTTTCCATCAGTTGACCACTTAAGTCCACAAACCTCTTGGGTATGACCCGATAATGTGGCAACAATGTGTTCCCTAGTCCTAACATCATGATGTATAATTTTGCCGCTTCGACATCCACTAGATAAAATGAAAGAGTTCCATGATAATGAAGCAACCCTTGCAGAGTGACCGTTCATAATACGGAGTCGTTTCGACCGAGCACAGTCCCAGAGCTCTATTGTACCCTGGGTTGTACCCACAGCCAATACGTCGCCTTCTTGTATCCATGACAGAGAACATACATAATCATTACCCTCCAGTTCTAAGAGCTGATCAATGTTCCCAGTTCCTGAAAATTAATAAAAATCTAAAAAACTAAAAAATAATTATGGCAGTATAGGAAAGGAGTCAACTCGGATTACCAAAATACCTTTCACGAAAATTCAATGACATGCCAGAATTTCAGAATGAATGTTATAATTTTGTTATAAATTGTTATATATGAAAAATATAAGTAATTTGAAAAAAAAAATCGACTAAAAAATTAAATAAACCTAGCAATTTTAAAATTCTTTTTTATGGTACAGGTACTATAGGTGCAAAAATAGAAAAATTTAATTCAATTCTTAAATAATTTTTTCAAAAAAGAATTTGAAAAATATTGTCTTGGATTAATAATTGTTGGATATATTTTTTGAATAATTTCATAGAGGGAGAATTTTTTTTTTTTAAATGATTCAGGATTTTCTTGAAAACCTTTGACAAAGTTTGATTTTCACAAGCACATGAAATACAGGATTTTAGTGCATAGTCTAATTTCCGATAATGACTAATTGTTAAAAGTACAATTGCTTAGTAATGATTTTTTAAAGATTGCTTTTAGGAGCTATTTTTTGGATACTAATATCCGACTGCACCAGGGCATACTATAAAATTTTGAGTTTGTTTTTATTAAAAATTTTACTATAAAATTTAAATTTAAAAATGTACTTTTTTCTCATGTTTGAAAAGATTTGTTTAAAAACTAAATGTTTAAAACTTCATAGCTTGGTAAATTGACGGAAAATGAGATGAACATTCCAACATTTGTCCCAATATATTGTTAGTTTTTAGTAATTAAAGAAGCGAAAACCAAGCAAGTTATGCCCACAAAACATATATGATATAATACATCCAACAAATCAGTATCACTAACATACTTTTGCTAAGTCTAAGAGGATGCAAATATGAAGCAGATTCTATTTTAAATATATTTTTTAAAACACCCCTGATGGCATCCTGTATAGAGATAATGTTTCTAAATTTATGTTGTCCTTTTGCAAGAACTCTATCTTTACCTAAAAATGATCTTTTGAAATTTTTGCAAAAATAATAGAAATAATAGCATAGTTTCTGATGTGTGTATTGTCAGGGAGATCTAACTCTGCAATTGTAAAAGCTTCAGGGTAGCTGCCCTTTCCAGATGATTTATTAAAAATATATTATTAAGTTAAACTCAAAACTCAGACTACACCTTAAATTTTAGTTAATATTTTCTATATAGTTCTAGCAGATGAATTTTATGTATTAGATTCAACCTTTCACAATTAATTGAAGTGATAAAGAATGAGAGTAGCATTACCAGCATTCCATAAGTAAACATGAGATCCTAACGCAGCTGCTAAAATATTGTTAGCACCCCAGTCCAAAAGATTAAGATAGTAATCATCTACTATATCTGGTGCATCTAAAATTCTATCAGGAGCATGTGGAATATATCGGTTTGTGGCTTTTATAGATGCTGGTGTCTTCGTTTGGGAATACAGCACTCTCATTGGATTTTGAAAGCCTTCTGGGGCAGCAGGAGCTTTATGTGCATAAGAGAATACCTTTTGACTACCGCCTTTACCACACTGAAAATGTCATATGAAATAAACTTTTACTCTAATTATATGAACTTACCATGTTTTCTGAGATAACTCTACGCAGTTCCATTGAAGTTGGACTCTCAGGCTGATTTTCGTCTTGGGATAACTTAAACTGGGCTAGCTCCAAATTACTGGCAACTCTTGATGGTATAAATCGATCCCCTCCTGGAGTTTTGGCACCTTTATTTGGAGTAGGGGTTTTTGATTTCTTTAATGGAGTTTTTGAAGGCGTTTTAGACCGTAAAACCTTTTCACTTTCTGATCCTTTCGACGGCGTCTTTAATAAACTGATTGAGGAAGATGAAAACGACTTTTGTTTGGACGAATTTAAATTGCTGGTATTATTTAGCGAAGCATTTTTGCTTTTATTTTTTTCCCACCTTGGTTGAGGTCCTTTCGTTATTGGTCCCTCCAAACTCAGAATGTTATTTACATCGTTCCAAAATTTAAATTGAGACATCTTCAATTAGTTCAGTACTAAATAAATTTATGTTTAGATATCTAAGTTTCACAATTTACTAGATGTAGATAAAGCAAAAACGTGTCAAACCTACGGTCCAAAAGCGACTGACCGTTAACGTTAAGATGAAAAATTTTGAAAACGTTTGACAACTGACAATACCAATATTGCCAATGTAAGAAATGAAAAAGTTCCTAATTATGTACGACTTTATCCATGATGACAAGTATTGTAAATGACGGGAGGAATACCATTAAATTTGCAGAAAAAGAAACAAATACACGTCGCTATTGTCCTGCATTTTTTTTATTTCAAAACTTTTTCGCTGCGTAATCGTTTTCCACAATTGGTCGTTCAAGTTCCTAAGGCCGTATATATATATATATATATATATATATATATATATATATATATATATATATATATATATATATATATATATATATATATATATATATATATATATATATATATATATATATATATATATATATATATATATATATATATATATATATATATATATATTAATTATCGGTTAATCCTCCCCTAGTTTATTATAGTAGTTTTCTTGCTTAGTTACCATATCATTTCTGTCAAAATCGTTTGCCAGATGTAATATTTTCCAAGTTCTGAAGACCATGTCACAGAATACAACATATCGTTTAGTGGTTTGTAGCGCTGTAACAATATTCTTAGTATTCCGTCACTGTGAGGTCTAATTGAAGTGAAAGTCCTAAATTTAAGATTTAGTAAATGGGTGGAGGTCTCGTTGGAGAAATGATTCCATAGAAACAAGAAGAAAAAGAAGAAGAAAATGTTATGAATGGTATTGAACATTCATTAAATTCATTTATTTAATTTAAATTCTAATATTAAGAATGACCCTAGCAGAGCACGAACGTAGAAACGATAGTCGAGAAAAGCCTTTAACTAAAGTTGTTATTCGACGATTGCCACCACAAATGACTTGTGAGCAGTTCATTAATCAAGTTTCACCTGTGCCAGATTACAACTACATATATATGGTAAAAGGAGACTTGACCTTAGGGGATAACGCGTTTTCGCGTGTTTATCTGAATTTTGTTTGCCCTGAAGACGTTTACACCTTTAAAGAAAGATTTGACAACTATGTGTTCCTTGATGGAAAGGGCCACGAATATCCAGCTGTTGTTGAATTTGCACCTTTTCAAAAGATTCCTAAGAAACGTGGCAAAAATAGAATTGATTCGAAATGTAACACCATTGAATCAGACCCATATTTCATAGAGTTTGTTGCCAGTTTGAATAAAACTGAGGAATTGGAAGCAAAACCAGAATATACACTTCAGCTAACTGATAAGGCTTCAGATAGAAGTGAGGGAACTACCCCTCTATTGGAATATCTTAAAAACAAAAAAGCTCAAAAGCAAAAAATTCGGGAAGTAAGAAAGGAGGAACGGGAACGAAGAAGAAAGGAATTTGATCGAAAGCGCGATTATAAAGCCATTGATCTAAAGAAGAGTGATGAGCGATCCTCCAATTCTTATGCTAGTAAATCTTTTAGTTCAAAATTGACTATATCAAAAGATTTTGTGGATGCTAAAGATGAAGATAAGACTTCTAAACCTGCTGAGAAAACATCAGAAAAAGTTTACGCAACTCAAAAGAATAAAGACCAGTTTCAAGAGAAAAGAAAAGAAATAAAGCCAAGGTTTCCGAAAAAGGAGTATCCAGAGTACAAAAAGAAGGAGGAGCTTAAAGATAGAAATATTAAATCTAGATTCTATGATGAATCCAAATTAGAAGCCAAAGGAAAAAGAGTAAAAAAGTACAGTGAAAAGAGAGAAGAAAGAAAGATTGAAGCTCAAAAGGCTGAACAACGTAAGTTAGAACAATTAAAACAGATTAAAGAAGCATCCATAGTTATTCAAACTAAAGCAGAATCCATCTCTCCAGAGAAACAAGTGGAGTCAGAACAAATGGTAGGACAAATAGATGAAAAATCTAATAAAGATACAGTTGTGGCAGAACCTAAAGAAAAAGCTGAATGCATTAACAAAGATATAGAGAAGGAACTAGAAAAGGATATAGATGAAAAATATGAATCATTATCATCAAAAAGGATTCGCAACAAAGATAGGCCAACTATTGCTATTTATAGGCCTGGTATGCTATCAAAAAGAAAACAAAATGAAGGTTAAAGTTATTTATAAAATGCTGCTTAAAATTTATGTTTAATTTTTTTGTTTCTTGTTTTTGATGTTGAAGCATTAATTTTGCGGCAAAGAGGGTAGTAAAGTTTGGTTGGAAGAATTTGATTGTAAATAACTAAATTTTTTTTTGTCAACTTGATCTGTGTGTTTTATTTCATTTTTTTTCATCAGCTTCAATTCATGCAGATTCTTGTAATCTAATAAAGTGGAGTAGTAGCATCTATATCTCTGTTGGTTTTAATATTAAGAGTAAGATTCCAATCCAACATTCCTTAATTCCGTTGTTGCCATCCATTGCAACAGATCTCAAGGCCTGTGAGTGGAAAGCAATAGATTTTTTCATTGTATTTTAAAATGGTACTGGCAGGATTTACACATTGGGAATTTAATAGGAAATTTATACAGCATCCTAAAACCGTTCCGAAACGATTCTAAAATAAAATCATATCAAGGTCAATACCTTTTTTAAATTTGAATCTATAGTGTTTTATGATGGAGTTGTAATATCCAGTGTACTTCGGGCACAGTCACCAAATTATGGGATAGATACAACATACATCTATGCATATATCTCGCCGGTCATAGTTCGGTTGTGAAGAGAGATGTGTTTATTAAAGACAATTTCGTTTACAGAACAATGTAACTAAATAATCTTTGGATTGGGAGATATAGCATGTATATATATAGTTGCAAGTCTGTGCGTATACGCAATGGCAGTAAACAAAACTTGTATAAATACACTCAAAATCTTCTAAAATCATCACTGGCAACGTCGCTTTATTAAAACTTTAAATGAAAAAAAAATACAAGTAAATATTTCGAATGGTTTTAAAAAATTATTCATATTGTAGAGAGATATAAATGATTCCCTAAATTGTATTACCACCTAGTATTTTAATCTTCTGAACAACAAATTTATTCCGAAATCGCGCAACATTGTTGACCTGCCCGTGCGGATTGTCAAGCGATGACATTTTTTAGTTTGTTAGTAGAACTTGCGATGTGCGTTTTTGTGTAATCTTGTGTTCTTTTTGAATCTGTTTTGTTTTTAATTTTTGCTATATTATTTCAATAATTGCTTTTTGCACAATTTCTTTCACAATCAACACACGTCGTCGGGTATTGTGGGATTATTTTGTACAAATTCCAAATGGTAAGCTAATTGCAATTGCTAATTCACTACTTGTTTGGTCGCATTTTGTTCAATTAAACCGTGTGTACTTATTAAATTTTATTTTATGATTTTGATTTTATACCATTGGTATTGGCTGGTAATTTTACGTTTTAAAATATTTTTTTCTGATTATTTATTTGGGTTTTCACGGAAATTATGTTTTTGGGTTTAACTTTCCGGAATTCAACCTTTATATGAAAGCCTCTGTGAGACATTGACCATTGGACTGGTCATTGTATCTATTGCTATTTGTTATTACTTGTGTCATGCTAATTGATGAGGACAGTTACGTTTTTGTCACTGGTCTTCAATGTATTGTTCTTTATGTTTGCGTCTAGATAGAATTCAGAGACAAATTTGCAGCAATTATTTGAATTTAAAAAAAATGGAGAGTTTTAATCGAAGTTTCAGTTGCCACACACCTCATAATGTAATATGTAATATTGGTGTCTAGGTATTAAATATTGCAATTTTACATCCATTGCTGATTTTTTTAAGTCATTGAAAATATGAAAAACTGCGATAAACACCTCATCCCCTGTTTTCTTTTGCAGCTATTATAGATTTGTAAATATTAGGTTAAGTTCTGATTAGTTATATCCAATTTCTAGAACGCACGGCCTTCAATTGTCATAGCTCCAATAATAAATGAATTAGCAATGGTGTCCAGTTTATATATTCACGAAAATTAGTAAAAAAGGCAAGGAAAACTAACAAAAACAATTGTGGATGCGCACTAATTATTACCAAATTATGGAGAAAGCATTTTTTTAAACTGCTTCCCTACCTATGCATAATTTCTTTGTGATTATATGGGAAGTGAAAGAGTCATAGAAAATCTCAAATGTGTGGGTTGGTTTTTAGGTTGTCACACCAAGTTAGCGTAACTCCATAATTAGAAAGATACGTTTCTAGTTGCGGGAATAGTTACTTAGAATTTTAGTGTATCATCAGATAATAATAATATTTTTATAATTTCCTTAAAGTTGTTGCAACTATACGTATAAATAATGCAATAAACAGCAATGCAGTAGTTTGAGTTGAAACGATAAGAATTAAGTATAAAAGAAATTAAATTATTTGAAAGCGGTTTAATTTCAGCCAGGTGGTGTTTTATACAAATTATTTAGTGATATATGATACATACATCTATTTAAGAAAGTATATTTATAAATTTCCTTTCTTCAACGATTCATACTACTTGCTATTAGACATTTAATGTATTATTATTTAAAATGTATTCCCACGTGAGATGAAAATCTGAAAACAGGGGTTATTATCACTAACGAAATAAAAAACGTCGAGCGACGATTTTTTATTGCAGTGACTCATCTCACAATGTTAAATCTCTAAAATCAGCACATCCTTTCTGGGTTAGATTAAGTTACATTTCGCCTCTCGCATCGCTGTTTTGTTTATAAACTCTTATAACAAATTTGGTTTGTTTAAACAAACTAGATGTAAACAGTTACGGTGGCGTGTTATTTTTTCGTATTTACTATTGCATCGCATTTTCATATAAAAATGTCACATTAGGAAATTTGTTGAGCTTTAACAGGTCTCTTCTTAACTATACAGGGTGTCCTACATTTCACGTGGTGATTTCTCAAGTGTTTTTAAGACTATAAATGTGTGTTCTAAAAAGATTCGTTTTCGAGTCCGAGTTTTAATTTAGCTCTTATTTGTAGGAGCGCTATCTCCATGTCTTTGCTCAGTTTGAAAGGCACAATTTTTTGTACCACCCAGTGTTATATTTTTGATAAATAAAAGAATTGCTCGATCGTTTTTACTCGAAAATGGTCAGCATTAGAAGTCGCTAGAAGCAACCGTTTTAGAAATATTTGGGCTTAGTAACCGATGCATATATTATAATAAAAAAAAATCAAGATAATTGGTCAGTTTATTCTATAATCTACAATTCTACAACCGAAACAAAAAAAAACAAAATAAAACTTTGACACTTTTATAACACAATACACGAACGAAGTCACGAACATAACTAGCTGGTAACATCTTTAAACTCATCTGCATTTAAATTTCTTTAGATTCATGTTTGTTTGTCGATGTTACTAAGCGGATTTTTGCGGATTACGGTCTAGTTTAATAGAACGTTTGCTAAATTTGTGACAAAGGATCTGGAGAATCAAATGACCATTAATTTGTGAATGCTCAAATATATTACTCAAGCCTTGATGTGTTTCTGCGAGAGTGTCAAACAGGTAGGGGGATGGAAGCGTCATGATTCTGTGCTTCAGGAAAAGCTTCCTGTAACATGGATTGCAGGGCACCCCCTCCAGAATCCTAATTGGCGATTCCGAACTACAATTATTCTAGGTTTTTAATTGATTTAATTTTAATTTGTTAGAAGGAAACCAGTTTATCGAAATGTCCAGCTTTCTCTGACTTTTGCTGAACTAGATCAGTAGCGCGTGTCGATTTGGAGATCACACTCGTATCATCAGCAAACTAGATTCAGCATTCCTTATCTACACACATATGTAAATCTTTCATAAAAAGAATAACGACCCCAGTATTGAGCGCTGAGGCACTCCGCTTTTTAATTATTGTTTATTATTTATTGGTAACAACTGTTATCAGCTGACACATATTGAAACTTCTCGCAAAGATCATTAGATCCACTGGACGGTCAAAAGGTACACAGTCAAAAAGAGAAAAGGCCGTTTTGAAGTTTGAAACTTATATCTTACACTTAAAAATGCAATAATGTGAGTGTAACAAATAACTTGACGTAATAAATAAAATGAGTCAAATTGATCAAATAAACAGGGGTAATAATCAGGTATGTTCAAAATATAATCACAATAACCGATTTGCTCATCGAGCTTTTGCTGTAAATTTGACTATTGTTAATTATTAGTTGAATTACGATTTAACACCACAAAAGAAAGGCAAACCCGATCACTAAGACTGCTCAAAAAAATATTAAAATTTAAAAGTTTTATCTTACCAGCGTTGTAATTATGTGGACGTACCTTGTTTTTTCCATGTACGCATGGTTTTTCTCCTTTGTAAACCAAAAATAATAAAATTTAGGAGTATATCATAGAGTTTATGGATTTGCCTACAAAATGGCACTGATAGCTCGTTTTTCATAAAAATGTGACAAACCTGGATTTTCCTCTGTGTTATTCAAATTCTTTAGTCAGATCGCACGTGACCTCAATAGTAGACGTGCCCTCTGCAACGTTTTCAATAAACCCGAGCAATGCTTTCACTACTCAACTTCAACCACCTCCCTGACCAAAGCAAAAACTTTACTATTACTGGGATAATGTTGTATAAATCATTTTTGAGGGGCACTAGTGTTTTGGTTTTTATTGCTGTGATTCACTTAATAAGTTTTTATATAATCAATCACAAGCGCTAAATTCTGCAGGTAAACGGGACTAACGGAATGGAAGAGAGGAGTAATGAATGATACTCTGTTATCTGTCAAAGACAATACCTTAACATTTTCAATCTTGCTTCCATTTTTTAAAACCTGGAAGTAACTTTGTCGCACTTGTGATATTGGTAGATACCGATTATATTTTGCGTGTACGTTATATATTTATGCTTGCTCTTGCCGATATGATACTAACCAAAATATAACTTTTTGAGTAAACTGATACATATATTAGGGAAAGTCCTTTTTACTGGCCTGTTTGTCGGTTAGGTCTTAGTCTATCGACAATGACAGTGAGATACTATTTAATCCTGTCACCTTGTTGGTCAACGCGACAAACTATGGAGTTTTCGTTTCAACTGTTGAATCTGCTAGAGTTGCACAACTTGTATACATAATTGCATAGTCTCTAAGCCCAATAACAGTTTTCCCAATTCCTTTTTTTCTCTTCCGTTTCACTTGTCTGTATGGTACAGGTTGATTTAACCTGAGTTATGAATTAGTAAAAAAGCTGTTAAATTATCTGCAAATGTACAAACAAAACTATAAATAAGTCAGGTAATTAAGTTATAATAACCAAAGCCACAAAACTTTTAAATAAATATGTAAATCAACGAAAACGAGATATAAGTGAAATCGTCTTTATGCATGCTAGATAAAACTCTGATTAAGAGGGTACTTGTTAAGTATGACATTCTATTGCTTATGCAAATAAGCATGTTTACCTCAAATAACCGTTGCCGTAATGTAATAGATAATACTCCTTGTAATATTCATACAGAATGTCACAAATTCTCTCCACACCTTATGGGACCACAATAACTGCAAAATTTCGAGAAAATTCCAGCCAAAAATTGGAAATGCAAACCTAAGAGTTTATTTTTTCTTTGTCTTTTATACCCTACCCTAGTGACTGTTTTATTCGGGATATTTTCAGAAGTATGCGAGTTCAAAGTTGGCATTTGTTGGTAATGGTGTTATTTATAGTTACAACATTTTTCAAAAAAAGTCGGTTTTTACTTATTCTTTAGAAAAAAAACTTATTACTATATTAATACTTTTATTCAATTACGCCCAAGAAAGGGTTTGTACTTATTTTTCCTTCTTTGCAACAATATTTAATATTTTAAGCCAACAAAACCTCAAAAATTTTGTATAATAAAAGAAAAAAAACATTGCTTTGAAAAACATCAAAATGGCGAATTTTGTTAGTTTTTGTTGTTCAATAATTATTTTACTTTATATTATTTACTTAAATTGACAAATAAATGAAATTTTGTGTGGTAATTAAAATAACATTATTTTCATTTGTCATTGCAAGATCTGTCACAAAAAGAGTTTTCATAAAAAGTTTCATAAACTGCTTATAAATATAGTTAAAATACTACACCGTCAAAAGAAGTAAAGGTCAGTGTAACTATTGAGCGGGAAAAATTAAATCTGCAGTAGACTTGGAGATTTTGTATTTTTTTTGTATTTGCATGTGTTTAGTTTTCAAGTCAAATTAAAATATTAAATTCCATGGACATAACAATTGAAAATTTACGATACGAGTTTTTTTTCTATTTTGAAA